AGTTTGACACTGCACTCGCGGAGCACTTGGGATCGTCAACAGTCTTCAGCGGTATGTCAAACACCATACAAAATGACATAATTGAGAGCATAGCTCATTGTATCCAGGATGAGACTGATAAAGAAATACACATTTCTCCTTTCATTGCTGTACAAGTGGATGACACATCAGACATCTCCAATAAGTGCCAACTCACTATCATAATCAGATATGTGAATGAAAAAGGCAGTGTGTGTGAACGTTTCCTCGGCTTTTTTGATGTCAGTTTAGAAAGAGATGCAAAAGCTGTAACATCAGTTGTCATGAGAGCCATCGGGAACTACAGCCCAACAAACAAACTGATTTGTCAGACTTATGACGGAGCAAGCTGCATGAGTGGACAGCACGGTGGCGTTCAGGCTTTAGTGAAAGCACACTGCCCCAATGCGCTATTCATCCACTGCTATGCTCACAAATTAAATTTGGTTTTAGCACAAGGCACAAACAACATCCAAGCAGCCAAACTGTTTTTTGCCAATCTCGATGCCTTCCACAATTTTTTCTCACGTTCATGTAAGAGATCAGCACTACTGTCTGAAGTTGATCGAGCTGTGCGTGTACCAGGGGGTTCTGCTGTGAGGTGGAATTTTAAAAGCCGCGCAGTACACGCCATCCATGAAGGACGCGGGTCGCTCTGTATCGCTTTTGACAGGATAATGACAGAGCCGGGATGGGACAAAGAGACCATTGCACAGAGTGCTTCCTTGAAGCAAAAACTTGAGGATTTTGACTTCACCTTCCTGCTCGGGGTCTTTCAGTCCATTTTCGGCCTCACAGAACCACTCTTCCAGGTTCTGCAAAGCAAGACGGCGGACATAAAAAAATGCCAGGATCGGATCATGAGCACTCTCAGCGCTCTCAAAGCCACAAGAACAGATGAGACATTCAGTCGCATTTACGATGACACGGTCAAAGCAGTCGGCGATCCTGTGCCCCGACGTAAACGACGTCGCCGCGGCTGGGACGACCTGGAGCAAGGGTTTAACCAGCACCAAGAAGGAGACGAGGAAACGGTTGTGTCTTTCCGGCGTCTTTACTTCCAGATTGTTGACGGCATAGTGTTGCACATGACCCAAAGATTTGCAGATATGGAGCACCTGCACTTTTTTCGGATACTGGAACACACATCATTCACATCGTTCTGCAACCCTGATGCATTTCCCAGCAGTGAGCTGGCTCAGCTGATCAACACGTATCCATTCTTTGATGAGCAGAAGTTAAGGAATGAGCTGCACACGCTGTACAACAACAGGTTGTTTCACAAGCCACCAGGAGAGCTGATACAGCTTCTTATTGAGGATGACCTACAGGGCACACTCTCCGAGGTCTACAAGCTGCTCCAGCTCATGCTCACGATACCAGCCACCAGCACATCAGCAGAGCGCTCCTTTTCCTGTCTAAAAAGGATCAAAACGTATCTGAGGAACACGTGTGGACAGGACAGACTTGTCAACCTAGCCACAATATCCATTGACTCTGTTGTTGTGGAGGACCTAAAGGCCGCTGGGAAGTTCTATGACATTGTTATTGACCACTTCGTTACCATGAAAGACAGGAGAATGGCCTTCCTCTTCAAATAGGGTGAGTGAAATGCACACCCCTTTCTCTCTGTGCATACCTGTTGCCTGAACTGCCCGTGTAGCTATGTGTGCAATTTCTGATGTGGTTCTGTTGGTTATTGTGCATTGCTTGCCTGGATTTAGCTGCAGGTGTTCAGTCTGAAGTAGTTGTTTTATTGCAGTTGTTTAATTAGCACAGGGTGCTGCTATCCGAAAATCAGCACCGCAGATAGCATGCCATATAGGGCCCGATCACCTGAATAGATGAGATTGTTTATATTTTTGTGTTACTTTTGGACTACGGACTGAACTAATTACAGAGACGAGGACTGTTGCTGCACTTGCAGTGTGTGTTAGTGTAACAGATGTAAATATGCAGTGGGGTTTATTTAATTTAATTTTGTATAATCACACACATTCTGTGTTTTATATTATTGTATTCTGTGTTCTTCATTTTATTGAATGTTAAATACCTGGCAAGGTCGGAGAGCTGTGCTCAGGAGTTTATTGTTGTGAGGACTTTAATTTCCTTTCTTTGTGATTTTACTTTTTGTATATATTGTGTCCCTCACGTTTCCTCTTCCCTTTTTGTAAACGTTCCAAGCAATGAGAGGAGTCACTGAGGGAAATGTATGTAAAACTGATCATTTTATCTGTTATCAGATTCAGACATTAAACAGAGATCGTCTCAACTTTACGCTGACTCGGCGGGTCTCGTCCATTATCAACACAACGCATACTGATACTTTGATGTGAACGTAAAACTTTAAAGGTCTCCTGATTTAGTTTGTGAATGAATGCTTCTTATTTATTAATTACCGAATCTGCACTGCGCATTGAGCGGCTGGTATTGCATTGGTGGGTGGAGGTTGGCATAAATTAATAAGAAAATGCTTAAATTAATAAGAAAATGCTTAAATTAATAAGACGAGAGAGTTTCAGCTGGAGAGTGCATGCGGACCTGTCGCTTAGATAACAGGCGTGTGTAAGTCCTGCATCTGTATGATACAAATGTGTGTAAAATGTTACCGGGCGCTGTAATCACTCATCTGGTTACGTTATTGACCACCCCCCCCCCCCCCCCCCCCCCCCGACCCAAAAACATTGGCTTCCCCTACATTTTTCCCCACCCCACGCTACTGGGGCCATGTAGCCTAGCTAATAAGTAGCATATCATCAGAAAGTATTTATCAAACGCACACAGGCAGCTGTTTTGGATCCAGTTTTTACAGTAAAGGATGTATCCTGGTTTCATTGATCTGGCCTCATTGCTGTGATGTGTAGTTTACGTGGATTTAATAGTAGGCTACCACATAGTTTAGCAAAGTGATCGATCTCCCAGCTAACGCTGTCTGCGTAGTATTTTGTAACGTAACGCCCCAAACAGCGGCCATCTGTTAAACGCTATCGATTCAAACGGCAGCGTTTTATTAATATTTAGTTTCAAGCTCTCGTCCTTAGTAAAAACAAAACTAGTGGAAAGGGAAATGCTCCCAGGGGAAGCTGACCCATCGGCGCTGGGACAGCTCGCTCCCTCTCTGCAGCTCTGTGAGCCGCGGTCTGTGTGAACGCCGCTCCGCAGTTTAATGCAGGGCCGTAGCTGCGTTTTTAACGGGCCTAAAATGATATTTAAAATGATTCACTTTTAACTAATGTAATGCTTGTTTCGTTGCTTGAGAAGCTTGTGGAAATAGTGTAGGTCTGTTTTAGTACAGTTTTAGGGAAACAAAAGGGGGGCAGCTGGGGGGGCAAGGCTCTACAGTGGGGGGGCAGCTGCCCCCCTTGCCCCCCGTAGATCCGCCCCTGCTATAGCTGCAATATCAGTTAGTGTGCATGTTGTCGGACGTCCACTGACCAACATAGTGCGTTCACACAGGATCTGCTGGTCATATGATGTCCTGATGAGCAGAAACACAAGCAGCCCGCTGGACTCAGATCTCTAGATACCTCATCACTCCTCCGCTGCTCCGATACAAGTCCGGGCTGCGGTGGTTTGTTGATACATGTCGTCTTCTTCTGTTTGCTTTAATCGAGGCTACGTAGTTATGCAGCGCCCCCATGGTCAGTAAATGGAAGTACTACAAAGAACCCTGTTTAGTGCAATTATTTCACAAGTTTTGTTAGATACACAGCTCGGAAAATATTACCGAGGTCCGGACCTCGGTGACCTCAATGGTAGATACGGCCATGGCTACACTGATCGATATACTTATTGGATCTGCACAAACAAGCTTAGATAACATCTTGAGAGTCCACAGATTATAGAAATATAAGGATCATCACTGAGCGATCTGAACTCGTGACAAAGCAAATACAGACAACACACGAGTTGTGTTCAATGGCATTAAAACGAGAAAAAACGCTGCTGAAGGTTAATCCATAGGTTACAGCAATGTGTCTGTCACTTTGAAAAAAGTATTGATAATCCATAATTACATTTTTATGCAAAAATCGGAGAAGAAAAATTAGCTGCTAATGGGAGCCACCAGAGGTTAGCGCAGCTTCCGGTTTTTCTACACGTCTCTCTCACTCCTTATTTGGTAAGCTGTGTGTGTATGGGGAACTTTCCCTCGATTCCATTGGCTCTGACGGTTAGAAAGAGATGTCAATCAGCAAAATCGACCAATGGCCCAGAGATATAGAAAATCCACACAAATGACCCCAGAAGTGTTTCTTTTTTGCTAAACCTCTCTAAAAAGGTCAAATGTCACTTGTTTTGCAGCAATCTTGATACAGGGTACTTATTATATGTTTTACTTTGGATTCCTAAAGCTTTTAGTCTACCTTACCATCATATAAGTAAAGTAAACAATAATTTTTGGACGGACACTATAATTTACAGTTTTTTACTATGTTCAATCTGAATTTTCTTTAAAATAAAAAACATTTATATTGATTCTGAATTTTCTACATCCAACTCACAGGTTTATCATTACTTTGAGAACAAAGATTATTAATTTAACCCTTTTAGAAGGGAAGATATGGTCAGGTGTTCTGGGAATGTCATTTTTGAGCCTGAGACCTGAAAAACAGGCTCAGTGCTTAACAGGTTCAAATGTTGTCCCCACATACCTGTTTGAAGAGACATAGTTGAACATACTTTTCACAAATTCTGACTGAGAACACCCTGGCAGGGACCAGTCACCTAAAATGAAATCTGAAAGCAGAGAGGAAAAACTTTAAATATTTTAACAGCACTGCCATGATTTGCTGGTTGGTTTATCTAGAGTAGTGAAATGCCCATAAATCAGTTGATGGAAGGCTGAGATAAAGATAGTCCTCCAGAATGACCTCACAGAACATTTTGCTGCACTGCTCCACGACACAGACACAATATTGGACTTCATGTCTACATGGTCTGCTGTATTCAGAGTCAGTGAGGGTAATAAATGTTGGTTTTCCTCTCAGGTGACTGAAGGAGGAAGTGCAAAGCAGAAGATATTCACCTATGATGCCATGTACAACACCAACTACTCCAACATGGAGGACTACCGCAGACCTGAGGATCTGGTCTACCAGTCCACTGTGCGGTGAGACAAGCCAAGCTGTGTTATATTAACACATATGTTTTTAAAGACAGAGCTTTAGGGGGAAACTAATCTCCAGAAAATGATCTAATCTCACTTCAACATCTGAGATGATGAAATTGTAAGGGGAAATGATAAAGACCCTCTATGATGTGTGTAATTGTGTGTACGTGAACAGGCTTCCTGAGGTCCAGATGGAGGATGACGGCCTGTATGAGTGCCATGTGGGGATCTATGACCGGAGCTCCAAAGGCAGAGTGATTCTAGCCTCCAGCAGCATCACCCTCACTGTCATAGGTATGTACTGTATTCACTTCTGGTAGGTAGTATCATGAAGTTTAACCCTCCTGTTGTCTTTGGGTCAAATCTGACCGATTTACTACTTTCATCAATCATTTCATTTCATTTCAAACCTTAAAAAAGCTGTCTTACCTAAGACAGTCCTTGCTCTTGGCACATCTAACAATACTACATCATGCGATCTCAGACAATAGCTGATTGCAACTCTCTGTGTTATCAGAGAGCAGATATAATACGGGAGTTTACCCAACAAAGCTTTATAAATAAACGTGTACCAATGACTGAGCCTCCGTACAGTAAGTGATGGCAAACCTGCCTTGGCATACAGGGTACAGTGATGAGTAAGTGCTTTACAATTTGTGACAAATCTCAGTGCGCTGTGATAGGCGGCATCTAACTTGTTCAGGCAATAGGCAGGTGCATTCATATACAGAGATGGGGTCGTTACTAAAAAAAAGTAATATATTACATATTACTAGGGCTGTCAAACGATTACAATTTTTAATCAGATTAATCACAGCTTAAAAATTAATTAATCATGATTAATCACCATTCGAACTATTTTCCAAAATATGCCATTTATTTATGTATATTGTTGTGGGAATGGAAAGAAGGCGGATATATCCATTTAACATACAGTATCTATGTTTATTATAACATTTTCTGTGTGTCAAAATGAAAGACAACCCACACACCTATCAATCATCAAACCGTGGGGTCTTAATTCATTACGTGTTGATTTCTATCAACGGGGGAGTACTTCAGGAAAGTCGACAGAGGGGGGGGGGCGGCGGCGGCTCGTAGAGTACTTCTTGACCACAGAGTGTGAACGTTGTGATCAGCTGTTTTAGCGCAGTTCTCCAGTGAAGGGGGGGGGGGGGAGTTTCCCTCCGCAGCCGGTTGGCGTAGTTTTGGCACAATTCCGTTGTACAGACCGACGTTAACAGCAGCTCTGTCTGTGCACACGGAGACCGACTCTGTCGTCCGGTGATCTAACCGCCTTCTGGAAAAGCTTCACAAGTACGTCGGTACACAAATGCGCTTTGTGACACAAGTGACGGTACGCATTTCAGATTACGCACATAACCTGCTTACCAGTTATGTGCACCCCTGTACTACAGCAAAAGTATTCTCCGTCGGGACTTCCTGCAACAACACCACGCCGTTATCAAAGATGTTCTATTGAGAAGACGATCACTACGTGACAAAAGTTTTCAAAACCGTGGCTACTGAAATCAATCTTACTAACTGCTGTCTGTGCAATTTACTCCGCGCGAGTTGGCAGACTTTATTTTGCTTACTTTAACATCCTTTTTCAAGGTGGGGCTAAGCCATTTCTTGGTATGGGTGTAGCCTACCCCAGCCATACCCTGGCGCTGCCACTGGTGGCACGTATGGGGCGGGCCATTCTGCACATGCGTTAAATGCGTTAAATATTTTAACGCAATTAATTCACAAAATTAATTACCGCCGTTAACGCGATAATTTTGACAGCACTACATATTACATATTACTTTAAAAAAAGTAATATATTACACTACTTCGTTACTCTCTAGATAAAGTAACTCGTTACTTTACTCGCAGGGCCTGCCCGCCCCTACAGGCAGATCACGCAGACTGCGGCGCACCTACAGTGTAAGCGCGCCACAGTTTTGCCTCTGCGAGACTCCACTTGCACCCAAAATTACTATTGCATTAAGGAAGACATAACACAAGTATTTATTTTGATATGCTCTAAAATAGGCTACCAGCCACACAACAAGCTAACAGTCTGTGAAACGTCAAGACACTAATTAATGAAACCAGTTCAAGACGCATTATTCTTATCATTCTTTATGAGCGCATAACGGTAAGGTATCTAATTACTTATTTATTTAGTATTCCATAACTTAGTAACAGAGATGGTCAAACTAAAGTGGTAGAGACATGGCATAATTCCTACAATGAAGCGGGACATTGAACTGTTCACCCGTGAGAGGGCGATCAACAAAAGAGAGCGAGCGGCCCCGTTGAGGGAGTTTACAGATGAAAAGACTCAGCCATGTTTATGCAGCACTGCACGTGGAGATGTGGTCTCGCAAGTCGCGCAGATTACATAGGCCTACATGTATATAAACCTGCGGCGGAAACCCCTCTAGTCTGTCAGTGAGTGTGATTATTTTATAAAAGTAACGAAGTAACGCGTGTCGGGGCAATGTTAGTAACTGTAGTGTGATTACTAAATTATAAAAGTAACGCGTTACACTACTCTGTTACCGGCATACGTAATATTATTACAGTAATAATATACAACAAATCACCATAGTCCAGCACAGGTAAAAAAAGGTCACAGTGACTAGCCTTTTCCTGGCTTCAAATGAGAAACAGGACTTGTTTCTGAAAAAGCTTTTTAAGCAGGTTATTGACATGAAGTTTAAAAGTAAGACAATCATCAAGCCAGATACCAAGGTATTTATAACAGGTAACCACTTCAACTACTTGTCCTTGCATAGTAACAATATCCAAAGCAGTCTCTGGTGTCTTTTTAGCTAGACACAATCATAACTTTTTTGTTTTACATTTGATTGCATTAAGGCTTTATGATCATAGCCGTGGGAACATGTTTCAAATGGGGGGTGCTGTGGGATGACACCAGGGCCGGTTCTGACCAATTTGCTGCCCTAGGCAAGATTTTAGCTGGCAATGAAGAACCTCTACAAAAAGAGAAACGTATTGACATGGTGTACAGCTCATATAAAAAGGCTTCAAATGTATTTAGTATTGTATGAACATGTTTTAATTGGGGGGTGGTCGTCACATCTCATTTTAAAGTAAAATGCTTCAATCTGGTGCACTTTGAGCGCCCAATTACTAGAGACAGATCTAGGGGGTACAACTCTAAACACCCATATGAAAAAGATCGGTTTGCATTTTATTAATCAAATAAGTATGTGAACATTTCCAATAACCTACCATAGCCAATAACAAATAAATGTAGGCTAACTTATTTTATTTTTGTGGTTCATTGTTATATTATATTTTACCAGTTAACATTTATTTATGCATATTTTTTTATCTCTCCAGTTTTAAACGATATTTTTTGTTTACTGTCCTATAGTATACATTGGAATGATTTCAAACCTGTTTTTATTTATCCTAATAATTATAAAGGAGTGCCTTGGAAATATTTGTTTACATAAATTGTGATCAAAACGTTTGAGACCCACTGACATAACTTAGACTAAAGTGAACTATCTAAACCAGAGGTGTCAAACTCAATTTCATCGTGGTCCACATTAGCATTATGGTTGGGGCCGGTTGTAACTATATACATATATAAATACATAATATATATGAAATAATGTATTATATTACAATATTGCCTCTGCATTGGATTATTATCTGATAGGGTAATAACTTCATAATTAACTACGTCTGAAAGCAGAAGTCTAGGACGCATGTCACAAAATGAGATGCATTGTGGGACATATAGTTTATGGGCAACATGCTTCTGTATTGTAGGGCCATACCTATACAAAACATGTCTGTGAAGTTTTTTGCTTCAAATACCAAACCGTTCACCCATTGTAGCCATGCCTCATACTGCTCATACCCCTCTATTACAGCCCTGTTAGAGAAACGCGGATTTTGGGTCCTTAGGTTAAAAAAAAAGAGGAGGCGGAGCTAATGCCTGATCAGAATTATACCGGGGATAAAGTTAAATTCTGCTGTGATAAAACACCATCCTGTTCTAAACCACATCAAGGATTATTTCTGAAACAGTAGGGAGCTCAAATGCTTTTTCTCTTGCGGGTTTATCACAAGGTGAGTATTTCCTGCTTTTTAAACACATGTGCTCTACAGCAGTGTTTCTCAAACTTTTTCATACCAAGGACCACTTAACCAATAAATAAAAAACACTCACGGACCACCTAACTCCACAAATATCCAAAAACACATCGTTTTTCTAGAACAGATTACAAATCGCTGTTTTTTTTTCATTAAATATGAAACTTAAGCTCGCTCCATTGCGGAGATATTCCCGCGAGAGTGTGGAAGACTTACATTTATTTATTTATTTAAAATGTGAAATGTTACCAATATACTCACGGACCACTAGGGGGCGCTCACTGCTCTACAGTACAGGTTAGCTCTGAGTGTTAGCGAGACTTGCTAATGTAAACAAAGACGAGATTACGTCCAAAACACGTCAGGCATTGTTTCTGATAGCAACTTTCTGTGGGTCCGCTGCCGATTTCACGTCATATCGGCAGCAAATCTGTATCCGCTCGTTGTACCGCCGTTTTTAAAAGATTTGGGTACGGAGGAAAATAGAAAGGGTTTTATTTTCTGACGCTGCGTGAGTTCCCCGACGCACCGCGGACACACATTTATGTATAAAAGACATCACAAAGTGCATTTTGCATGATACAGATGTAGCACCTAATTTCAGACTCCAGTTTACAGCTTCCTGCTCCTGCCTACGATCTGCCTAAGACCAGTATCGAGGAATGTTAAGCCCTCCCACTATTTTCCAAGAGGGCGTTGCCAGATTTTCAATTTCCGGTTTTAACCAGGAGATGGCGCTTCATTCATAAATACAGAAAGACAAGTTTCATGGACTTGCAGTTGTGTTTTGAAGAGCATTTGAACACATCAATATTTTAGATCAACTAAAGTATATCTAATCTTGTAATTCAATAATATATAGTCTTTATATATTAAATAATCATAATAATAATGTAAATGTTTACATTACATTTCTTTATTTGTTATGCTCATACTTTTACCTTTACAATCGTTTGCTTTAATATGCAGTATATTTTTTGTATATTTTTGTGTTTGCTTCCTCCTGCTCCCTTTCGGACACATACTGTATGATTTATTATTATTATTAATATGAAGATATTATTAAGATAAGATGTTACTTTATTGATTGAACATTTTAGTTTAGAATGTGCTGTCCAACGGTAATTCAGAAGGCTCACAGGTCACATTCCGACCATTATTTAAAACAA